TAGGCTCAGTTTTTGACTCTTGTATAAGTACCTTAAATTTTATGATCTTAACTTTGCTTAACTGCTTTGACTAGAGTGTCTTGATGAAACCAATCCTGAGTGAGTTATATGCCATGTGTGTGTAAGGATTTGTTATATTCTGTGCATTGCATTTGATGCCTAGAACTTGCCCTGTGTGTTTGCAAAGCGAGATAATAGTTTTGTTCAGTCTTGGAAGTGATATAAGCGTTTCTTTGTTGAGCCAGATATGTATATTTTACCCACCTAATTGTTATGTATCGTAGTTAACCCCTTTGAGCCTCTAATCTTGTTTCTTTGGCAACCACATTACGAGCCTTACCGATTTGTTTGAATTATTCATCTATTTGAAACTTTTAACCTCTCATGAGCACTTGAATTATTATGAACTGTGTAAAAGTTAAAGTGTGGGGTGATTGGTTTGGCTTTTGAGTGGAACTAATGAAATAAGGAGAAAGGTGCACTGTTTTGAAAAAAGTAAGAGCCACTTGAATTGAAAAAAAAGAAGAAAAAAAAAGAAAAAAAAATAGTTCGATTGTTGTGGAAAAAATAAATATTCCTTGATAAGTGGTGGCTCTTGGTGCAATTGTGCTTAAAGAAGTATGGGGTAATATACATTGATGTGAAGGTGGAGTTTGGTTTGACATAAGTATGGGGGTTGAATGTTAAAGTATATGTATTAAAGTGCTTAGGGAGGTATAGTCACTCTTATATATCTAAATGTATCCTACCCGTCCCGTAGCCTACATTATAACCAAATAAAGTCCTAATTGATCCTAGATTGAATGAACTTGATTAGTAGAGTAGTACACTACGTGCAAACTTATGGTGCATTTTTTTGTGGCATATGAATGTTATTTCTGAGAGTGAGTGAATTCTTTCTATCTTGAGTTCCTAAGTATTCTTAAATTTTATTGTGTGGAACTACTCTCTTTTTTTGTGTGAGGGCACTTGATTCATGAAGGAAAGGTAATGTCAGTGACCTCTATGTTAGAGTAAGTGGGTGAGTTGTGAATAATGCGTGGTACTTGCGAGTCAAATCTTGAGGTGAAGATGTATACGCTTTTGTGCTTAGTCTATTTTAAATACTCTTGGTGTGATGAGTCAGGAGAATTTTTTAAAAAGGTCGTGTCTATAAAAAAAGTGTAGTTTGATTGCTCGAGGACGAGCAATGGTTTAAGTGTGGGGTATTGATGATAGGCTATAATTACATATTTTAGTCGCTTATTACACTCAAATTTACTGCATTTTAATGGAGTTTGAGCTTTAATCGCTAGTGTCTTGCACTAATTATGTGTTTTATGCCTTGTAGGAGTGATTCCGAGCTATATAGATGTTATGGAATGAATTCAAGTGATTTGGAGCTTTGAAGTCTGAGTAAAAGCACAAGGAATTAAGCCGGGATCGTATTCGGGGATCATGATAGAGCAACAAAACGAAGAATCGAGTAGGCATATTGCGCACTGTCTAGTAAAATGCACATAACGTTTTGCTCAAAACTTTATTTGGGCTCCACAATATATGGTTGGAAAGATAACTCAAAGGACTACAACTTTCATGCTTTGCGATTTTCCAAATTCCAAATGAAACAGGGTGAAAAACGCGGTCGAAACCGTGACCACGGACCTGAGGCGGGCTGAGGCAGTCCACTAGCCAATTACCGCGTCCGTACCGCGGTTGACCGCGGCCGCGGCCGTGGCCGTCCAGACGTGAAAAATTGTCTTTTTTCACGTAGGAGAAGGTATAATAGTTTGGAACCAACCCTACTTGGTATATATATATGAAAAAATGGTATTTTGAGGGGTTGGACATAATTTTTGACACATATTCGACCTAAGGAGGCAGAGACACAATAGGAGCAAGGCGGAGAATTCTTCTACGAGTTTTTCCTTCTCTTCCTATTTTTCGTTGTTGGTTATGACTTTTAGTATTGTAGTTTTACATACTATTATGAATAGCTAATTTTTTATCTAGGGTTTTGATAGAACCTTTTGTAGGATAAATTCTTGTTATGTTTTTATATAATTGAGCCGTTGGATTTCTCTACTTGTTCAACTACGTGTTTATTGTTGTTGATTGAATGGTCATCAATTGACTGTGCCTATTTTTATTATGTGTTGCTTGAGAAAGGATACATATTTAGGTGGTTGTTGAACAACGTCACTCCTAACGTATGTGAGAAATCAATATATTGGGTTTAAAGGTAGGTTTAGAAATAACAAAGCCTTGACGTTGTCATAATGAGCGGTTAGATAAAGCCAACTAGCGTAGTTCGAGAGAATATGTCTAGTAAATTGTTGTAGTTGCTCGAGAGAGAATTACGGCATCTAAAGTGCTCACGATCAGTAGAGAATACATTGGCGAAATTGTAGGGAACATAGCTAGAAGGATTCCGACAATTGGGAAAATCATAACTCTACACCTCCTTAATATAGTCTCCAACCCTTTGTCTCGTTAGTTGATAATTTTACCGTTTTGTAGTATTTGCTAGTTAATTAGTTAGAAATATAAATCTCAATCTTTATATTTAGAAAATTGTTCAATCTCATCTTCTTAGTGATATTAAACAGATACAGCTAAGCCTTAGTTCTATGTGGGATTCGACTCCGGACTTTTAGACCGAATTATATTTGCAGCGACCGCTTATCCTTTTTAGGACTAGAGTTGGGCGTGATCGCGTACTAAAAGCACGATCTTGAAATTAGAAACCATGGTTTGGAACAAATAAGCGGATAGGCTTGACGAAGTTTAAGAAAAAATGTACATCCTAAAAACTACTCAAATCATCAAAGTCTATTAACCACGAAATCAGTATATACTAGATAGTCCGAAACGAAGAATAGGAGGACATTTGAGGCATTAGAGGCTTGGAATGTCAATTGGTGCCAAAGACTTTGTCAAGCAGGCATGATTGTCATACTTTAGGGCTAAGAAAGAAGAATACAACATATATATACATCTGCCAGATATGTTGAAAAGAGAACGTACTCACTGTTAGAAAATTCAATAAATACCTTAGAATAGGAGGGAGAAAATGTCTATAGCTTAAAATATGAGAAGGAATTTGTTTTTCCACACAAAGTGGGAGGGGTAACATGATTTTGACACGGCTCAAATCGATGGACTTAACGAGTAATTTGATTCTGCCTTTTAGGGGTGGGAATAGTTCGGGTAAATTAAACCTAAAATCCAAACCAAAATTCGATTTTTTTGGATTTTTGATTTAAATCTTCGGATTACGGATTTAATTTTTAAAATTTTTTAGATTTCAGATTTCGGATTGGATGTTGGATTAGGTATTTTGGATTTTTTGATATATTTTATATTTAGTCCATTATCCATATGCAATATAATAAGTCCATTACCGTCCCCACCCATTAGATATTATCTCATATATTCAATACTAATTACTAAATTACTATCAGAATACTTTTTATTAGGACATGGTCTTACTATATATTACTACTTATTATCGGCCTTATTATACTTGATGATGATTTCATTACTTGAATACTATATTAATTAGATGATTGCGGTTAGAATGAGAAACTTTCTAAGCAATTCAACATGAGGACTTCGTTTGAATGTTCATTTTTGTAAGACCCTCAACTTATAGACTTAAAATCGAAAATCTAAAATTTCCAAATGATTAATCCGAAATTAAACTTAAAAAGCCGATCCAATCTGAGCTTATTTGGATCTTATTTTTTTTCAATCCGAAATCAAACTTAAAAAATTCGATCCAATCCGAGCTTATTTGGATTATCATTTTTTTTCAATCCGATAATCGAAAATTCAACCGAAATTTTCATATCCAATTCGAATTGCCCGAATGCTCATCCTTACTGCCTTTACAGCTTGAAAAGGGATACTTATCCGTCTAGGATTGTGATATTTTTCTATATTTTGTTGTCATTAGAAATGTTTACTTCCAAAAATTCGTAACATCTGGCAGCCACTTTATGGTTGTTGGTCGATTCCTGTTGTTTTTGGGCCAATTCTGCTCGAAGATCTAGCTGTCTGCTAGATCTTCATATTGCTCTTGCAAATCCATAGGTGTATTGCCAGTTACAACGTCCACATCTCTTCACGGGCCCATCCTCTACGAGGCTCTGATATCAATTGATACCAAATTGAGGTATCACCACAGCTGAACGAGAGAAGAAGCAACATAAATGAAGAAAAAGAAGAAGAGAAGAGAAATAGAGGCAGAATCAGAGAAGAAGCAGTGGAAAAACACATAAATTCAATTCATATCCTAATCCATTACAATTTGTTGTATCCCTATTTATAGTCTTTGTAACAAGCTAAAAGTGCTGAAAATAAAAGAGAAAAGAAATGCAAACATGCCAATTGTGTGACATAGCTCTAACTAACTTTCCCACCAAAATCTAACTTTAAAAAAATAAGCAACTAATTTTTCGAAACTTATCAGCCAATATGTGTATCATTCCCCTAAGTTGGTGCTCACCATCTGAGCAACCCTCTCTTATCAACCTAACAAGTAATCTGATTCTGCCTTTCAGGTGTGGGAATAATTTGGGCAAACCTAAAATCCAAACCCAAATCATTTCTTTTTGGAGTTTTGGTTTAAATGTATTGCGAATTTTATTTTTTAAATATTTTAAATTTTGAATTGGATGTTGGATTTGGTACTTCGGATTTTCGGATATACTTAACATTTAGTCCATTATCCATATGCAATATAATAAGTCCAATACACCACTCATTAGATATTATCTCATATATTCAATACTAATTATTAAGTTACTGCCAGAATACCATAGTCTTACTATTACTACTTTTATCGGCCTTATTAATGTCTTTGTTACATTTACTTGATGAGTTCAGTATTTGAACAATTTATTTAGATGATTGTTGTGAGAATGAGAAAATTTTAGGCAATTTAACATGAATGTTCTATGGTTATCATAAGAACTTCTCCTAACATTAGAATAACCAGTTGAAATATGTTTCTGAGCTCAAGCAATAGCAGCAAGAGTGTCCTCAGCTAACCTAGCTAACCTGCATGTTTTAGCTAAGGTTTTAGGCTCATGCATCATAATAGGATTCACCAATTCCTCCTTTAAACCACCAAGGAAACAAGAGATAACCTGCTCAACAGTCAAGTTGCATTGATCTACCAACCTATTAAAGGCAAATTGAAACTCTCTAACAGATCCTGTTTGCTTCATTGTTTCAGTTCCAACATAGGATCAGAAAAATCACCACTAAAAGTCTCGATGAGCTCAGCTATGTACTCATCCCACACATGTAGCATAGGTAAATTCCTACATACACTTAAGGTATGATTGATGCCAAGCTAGTGCTTCATCATCGAGGTTCATAGCTACTAACCTCACTCTCAAATTGATAGGAGTGTCATCTTCAGTAAAATACTGTTCGATTCTATATGATCACATTTTCAAATTCTCTCCATGGAATCGAGAAAAAACTAGGTTATGATTACGATTAGCATTAACACAGTAAGGATTTCATCCTAGAATACCCCGACCTGACTGGGGCATTTTATCCTTAGCAGCAGATGTAGATGCACTGTCCATCGATTGCTGATTCAATTGCAGTCCATCAAAAGAATTTTAAGAGCACTCACAATCTGCAGAAGTTCATTGTGTCGCCTGTCCAAATCATCTCTTAATTTCTGTTGTTTTTGGGCCAATTCTGCTCAAAGATCTAGTTGTCTGCTAGATCTTCATACTGCTCTTGCAAATCCATAGGTGTATTACCAGTTACAACGTCCACATCTCTTCATGGGCCCATCCTCTACGAGGCTTTGATATCAATTGATACCAAATTGAGGTATCATAACAGCTGAACTAGAGAAGAAGCAACAGAAATGAAGAAAAAGAAGAAGAGAAGAGAAATAGAGCCAGAATCAGAGAAGTAGAGGAAAAACACATAAATTCAATTCATATCCTAATCCTTTACAATTTTTTGTATCCCTATTTATAGTCTTTGTAACAAGCTAAAAGTGCTGAAAATAAAAGAGAAAAGAAATGCAAACATGCCAATTGTGTGACATAGCTCTAACTAACTTTCCCACCAAAATCTAACTTTCAAAAACTAGGCAACTAATTTTCAAAACTTATCAGCCAATATGTGTATCATTCCCCTAAGTTGGAGCTCACCATCTGAGCAACCCTCTCTCTTGTCAACCTAACAAGTAATCTGATTCTGCCTTTCAGGTGTGGGAATAGTTTGGGCAAACCTAAAAATTTTTTTTTGGAGTTTTGGTTTAAATGTATTGTGAATTTTAATTTTTAAATATTTTGAATTTCGAATTGGATGTTGGATTTGGTACTTCTGATTTTCGGATATACTTGACATTTAGTCCATTATCCATATGCAATATAATAAGTCCAATACACCACTCATTAGATATTATCTCATATATTCAATACTAATTATTAAGTTACTGTCAGAATACTTTTTAGTTGGACATAGTCTTACTATTACTACTTTTATCGGCCTTATTAATGTCTTTGTTACATTTACTTGATGATTTCATTATTTGAACAATTTATTTAGATGATTGTTGTGAGAATGAGAAACTTTTAGGCAATTTAACATGAATGTTTTATGTGGATGTTCATTTTTGGAAGAAAAATAATCTCAAGGTCTAAACTTAAAATCAATAATCCAAAATAGCCAAATGATTAATTTGAAACAAACTTAAAAACTCCGATCCAATCCGAAATTATTTGGATTGGATTTGAATTATCATTTTTTTCAATCAAAATTCGAAAATTATGGCAAGCTACTTGAATTATCATGTTTAATCCATTATCCATATGTAATATAATAAGTCCAATTCCCCATCCATTTGATATTATCTCACATGTTCAATATTATTTACTAAATTACTCTGAGAATATTTTCTATTTGGACATGGTCTTACTACTACTACTTCTTATCGATCTTATATATATATATATTGCATTTTCTTGATGATGATTTTATTACTTGAATACTTTATTTGAATGATTGTAGTGAGAATGATAAACTCTTTAGGCAGTTTAATATGAATACTTTATTTGGATATTCAATTTTCTAAGAAGAAGAAATATCTCAACTTAATTATATAGGCTTAAATCAACTGTGCATCGAACTGTCCTTTTTTTTTTTTATTATTATTTTTTAAATCAACTGTGCTAGCTACCCATCATCAATTCTACCACGATGGTTAACTTTGGCAGCAGCTGTAGTTTGTAATAACTACTGTGATGGGATAAAATTTGTGTGTAGAAATTAAAGTGCTACATATAAATTGCTAGAGGAAATGCCACCATACCTAAGTTTGAGCCATTGTGCTAATGCAAATGACAGATATTTTAGTATCTAGCCAACACCAGAGAATGATCACTGCTTTTGTGAATGATCATGTCAATTGCAGCATGATCAGACAACTCTACTACCAGATGCATGCTGGGGCAACTACCTAGAGTGGAATGGAAGACCTTCATGTTCAGAAATGAAACAACAGCCAAACCATCTCTTTGTGGAATGTGTCTTTGCTCGAAGATAATGGAGTCCGCCGCCCGTGCCAAAAGTGAAGAAGCTTTCCTCTTCTTTTAGTCGAGCATGCCCGCCCTTTAATTAGCAAACATTGTGTTTAATTTTAAATACATAGGAGGCTTGTTATGTTTTCTTTTCTTACTCTAATATAGTATTCTTTTATTCCATGAAATAAAAGAATATAACATAACTTTGCATACATTAAAAACAGAATCTAGTCAGTGCAAAAGAGGCTCTCTTTCTATATATCATGATCTAAGAAAAAATACAACATATAAATTCAACATTAAATGAGAATGTACTCATGACTGTTAACTAAAATTACATGCAAAAAGCTGCCTTTTGTACAGATTGTTCAATAATACAGAAAATATAAACACAAAATTGTTTTTGTTTAATACAAGGGGCTGCACCTGATCTCTTTTTTTCTCACAGGCTGCCTACGAACCCCTAACTAATCTCCTATGGGGATCAAGCCCGAACGTAGTTCTATACATCAGTATAATTCTTTACATTTGTATACTCATTCTAATCAAAATTGATAATCAGCATCCTTCTAGTAGCTTTCTTCTTTTGTTGGATCTGTAATTCAACAACTTCATTTCTTCTACTATTGCAGAAATGGTGAATCAAAGGAACACTTTCACCGGCATAGATACCGAATAAACAAATGCGGGTTGAGTTCCTTTTTCCTTGTCTGCTCACGAACAACAACATTATCATCAGATGAAAGAAATATATGCCTTAGTAGCATATCAGCAGTCCATCGCGATCTCGGCTCCTTAACAAGACACTTTCTCAGAAAATCTTCAGCCACTTTTGACAATCTTTTGTTCTGCAAATCCGGTGATCCCATTCCGATTTTGCACAATAGATAGACAACGTTGTCAGCTTCACTGCAATCCCACACTGTCTTCCCTTTAACCATCTCAAAGACAGTGCATCCGAAAGCCCAAATATCAGCTTCAGGTCCGTACTCGTTATCAAGAACTGATTCTGGCGCCATGTACATAGGTGTTCCTTTGAGTCCGTGCTTTTTTTTCTGACTCTTTACTCCTCCAACCTTCTTCGCGGACCCGAAATCAGCAATCTTGGCTACTTTCTCCGTACCAACAAGAAGAATGTTATCTGGTTTAATGTCACGGTGAACGAATCCTCTTCCATGAATATGACTAAGCCCCAATAGAATCGATTTCGCGTACTGTTTTACCTCAAGATCTTGCAACCCTTGCCTTGAATTTTGACCAATCCGATCAGCTAGACTTCCACCAGACGCGTACTCGAGCAACATGTTGTACAATATCTTCCCATCTTCTTCAGTAACATCAGCTCCGAAACATCGGATAACATGATCACAATCTTGAAACTCGTGTAGTAAATCTCTCTCTTTCTGTAACGACTTTGAACGCGAAAATAGGGCAGATTTTACTGCGATTGTCGACGGAATATCAATGGAGAAGTTTGTTGTCGTTGCTGAAGTGACGATACCAAAACTGCCTCTTCCGATGGTTTTGCCTCTCGTCCATATTATTGGATGATCGGTAATCGCCGCCATTGAATCAACTTTTTTCTTGCTCTCAATAGTAATTGATAACCTGGTTTTTGTTTTGTTTTGGTAACTTACTGATATTGCTTTACTTATATATTAGTATGAATTACTTGGTTTTCCCTATATATTGGTAACTTACTGATATTGCTCTACGTATGGTTACGTGTTTCTTGAGTTACAAGCTAGGTTTTGTAAAGTTGTAAAGTTTCCAAAATTTGTTTTTTCCTTATATTGTAATTTGTAACGTATTATTTACCACTTCTCCAAGTAATTAAGGTAATCACGGCTTTCGCAAAGGGCTCACAAGACGATTTATTAAGTTTTCTGATCAATTAATAATATATATATATATATATATATATATATATATATATATATATAAAAGCAAGCGAACAAACTTGAGCGCCTAAGCAGGATAAAGGATGACACTTCAGTTTCAATCCCAAAAGGCATTTAACTTGAAGTAGTCTAAAATCACGATTAGTAATGCGACTGATAAAATGATATCCCTCGGTTTTTTTTTTTTTTTTTAATATCATGATACCTTTTTTCTTTTCTAATCTACGTTATCACTCACAATATAATGAATTATACTTTATTTTTCTGAGTAAAAAAAGTAAATAACTAAAATAATCAAATATATTAGTTAATACTTTTTTTTTTGAAACAAGTTAATACTTAGAATAACAAAAGAATTTCGGTCAGCTTTAGTATAATTTTAATATGTAATAAAATTGCTCAGTAATTCCATTAATGATAATAAAAATTCCAAAAACATATTTACAAAAAAGTTTTAAATAAAGAAGGGGCAATTTTAATACTTAGTGCCATAACATTAAAATAATAAATATCTAATAATTTGTCGATTTCATAACAAAGCCATAAAAGCAGTTTTTTGTTTATACTTCCAATAAATTTAAATCCGGAAAAGGGTTCAAAATGCCCCTAAACTATTGGAAAAGGTTTAAAAATACCCTTCAACCACCTATTGGGCAAAAAATACCCCTACATCCACTTTTTTGTTCACTTATGCCCTTTGACCGTTAGGTCAATGCTAAACTAAAAATAATTATTGTTCTTTTTGTAAAACTTAAAAAAACGTGCAAAATATTTTCATTTTTTTAAACTAATGCACCAATAGTCCACTAATTTAGTAAATTCTTTTTTTTTAGTCAGTTTTTACAAAAAAAAAAAAAAATTCAGTTTTTTAAAGCATTTTTTTGTAAAAACAAAAAAAATGTACAGAGAATACGAGCCTCTAAAGACGTATTTTCCTGACGAAGAGGTATCTTTCATAGGAGAAGATATCGCAAAATCCTATGATGGCTGGAGAATGTTTTTCGACGGAGCAGCAAACTTCAAAGGAGTTGGCATAGGAGCAGTTCTAGTATCAGAAATAGGTCAGCATTATCCGGTGTCTGCCAAGCTCAGGTTCCCGTGCACCAACAACATGGCCGAATACGAAGCCTGCATCTTAGGGCTCAATATGGCCATTGATATGAATATTCAGGAGTTACTAGTGATTGGGGATTCAGATTTGCTCATACATCAGGTCCGAGAAGAATGGGCAACCAAGAACTCCAAGATACTCCCTTATCTACATCATGTACAGGAGTTGAGGAAGAGGTTTACAAAGACAGAATTCCAGCATGTTCCTAGAGTCCAGAATGAGTTTGCCGATGCATTGGCTACCCTATCATCTATGATTCAGCATCCAGATAAGAACTTCATTGATCCTATCCCGGTAAAAGTTCATGATCAGCCAGCTTACTGTGCTCATGTCGAGGAAGAAGCAGATGGAAAACCCTGGTTTCACGATATCAAGGAATATTTGGCAACAGGAGAATATCCGGAACTTGCAAACGCTACTCAGTAGCGCACACTGCGAAGGTTATCCAATCACTTCTTTCACAGCGGAGGAATCCTGTATAGGAGGAATCCTGATTTGGGATTACTAAGGTGTGTCGAAGCAAAGGAAGCATCCAGGTTGTTAGAAGAGGTTCATGCAGGGACCTGTGGTCCACATATTAATGGTTTTGTCTTAGCAAAGAAGATACTCCGGGCAGGATATTTTTGGATGACTATGGAAACGGACTGCATCCAGTATGTCCGAAAATGCCATCGCTGTCAGATACATGCATACATGATAAAAGTGCCTCCAAATGAGCTTACTGCAACAAGCTCGCCATGGCCGTTCGCCGCTTGGGGAATGGATGTTATCGGACCTATCGAGCCTGCCGCATCAAACGGGCACAGGTTCATTCTAGTGGCAATTGATTATTTCACCAAATGGGTTGAAGCAGCATCATATATAAGGCAGTGACCAAGAAAGTTGTGGCAGACTTTGTCCGCGATCGCATCGTTTGCCGGTTCGGCATCTCAGAGTCAATCATTACTGATAATGGTTCCAATCTCAACAGTGACCTGATGAAAGCAATGTGTGAAACATTCAAGATTAAACACAAGAATTCTACAGCCTACAGACCTCAGATGAATGGAGCTGTAGAAGCAGCCAATAAGAACATTAAGAAGATACTAAGGAAGATGATAGAGAAACACAAGTAGTGGCACGAAAAGCTATCGTTTGCTCTATTGGGATACCGTACCACAGTTCGCACATCAACCGAAGAAACTCCATATATGTTGGTTTATGGTACAGAGGCAGTCATTCCCGCCGAGGTGGAGATTCCCTCCTTGAGGATCATACAGGGAGCAGAACTTGACGATGCAGAATGGGTAAAAGCCGCTAAGAACAACTAGCTCTAATAGATGGGAAGAGAATGAATGCAGTTTGCCATGGTCAATTGTATCAGAACAGGATGTCCAGAGCCTTCAACAAAAAAGTCAAGCCGAGACAATTCACGCCAGGGCAGCTGGTGTTGAAGAAAATTTTCCCGCATCAGGATGAAGCCAAGGGGAAGTTCTCTCCTAACTGGCAGGGCCCGTACATGGTTCACCGGGTTCTAACAGGAGGAGCCCTCATACTTGCAGAAATGGATAGAGAAGTCTGGCCAAAGCCAATTAATTCAGATGTAGTCAAGCGTTACTATGTGTAATCTTTATGCTTTCCTATATGATGTAATTTGAACTACGCCTGACCTGATTCCCGTTTAAGAGGGGATACGTAGGCAGCTTTGGGGGTTCGGTCACAATTCAATAAAATTTTCATTTCCCCCGCCATTGGAAACTGGGGCAGAATTTTGAGGAGGACCCTCAAAATTCCGAAGTTGATTTTTAGCTAGTCATCGCACGCAGCCGTCAGAAGCACCAGCCCAGTAAACTGGGGCAGAATTTTGAGAAGGACCCTCAAAATTCCGGAGCGAGAGAGGTTTCAATGTCTTGAACCGCGTCGCAGCCGTTGGTTCATCTAAAGAGAACTATTTTCAACCATGTATTTATATTACGTTTTTACTAAATCATGCATGACTACATCAAAATCGCTTTGTTTAGCGACGCTTCCCCAATGAAAACAAGAGCCGAGCAAGACAAGCGAGGTCCACGGGAAGACGGGCTAACCTTTCCCCCTTTACAAAACTCACGATTTTTCTTTGGATGCACGCACCCAAGATATAAAATCATCAGATACGTTTACACACCCATAATACGTTTACACACTCATACTTTTCAGGAATACAACTCTCAAAATCATCGCCTATTTACAATTGTTATCCGTACAAGACATCCCCAGCAACCACAATACCACAATACAACAATCAACTATCAGCTATCATCTATTAGCTAAGAGATTTCATTATTATTCGCCTTTATTTTTTTGCATTGCATAAGGCTACCTTTCTGCCTTCCGAGACTAAGATCTGTCTCCATCTGCATTCCTGCATTGCATAAGGCTACCTTTCTGCCTTCTGAGACTAAGCTCTGTCTCCATAATTGCATAAGGCTACTATTTTGCCTTCGGAGGTTAAGCTCTACCTCCACTTGCATTTCTTGCATTGCACAAGGCTACCTTTCTGCCTTCCGAGACTAAGCTCTGTCTCCATAATTGCATAAGGCTACTATTCTGCCTTCCGAGGTTAAACTCTACCTCCACTTGTATTTCCTGCATTGCATAAGGCTACTATTCTGCCTTCCGAGGTTAAGCTCTACCTCCACTTGCATTTCTTGCATAGCATAAGGCTACTATTCTGCCTTCCGAGGTTAAGCTCTACCTCCACTTGCATTTCCTGCATTGCATAAGGCTACCTTTCTACCTTTCGAGGTTAAGCTCTACCTCCATCTGCATTTCTTGCATTGCATAAGGCTCCCTTTCTGCCTTCCGAGGTTAAGCTCTACCTCTATCCTGCATTCCTTGCATTGCATAAGACTACCGTTCTGCCTTCCGAGGTTAAGCTCTACCTCCACCTGCATGGCTGAAACATCGCCACTTTTATTTACATCTGCTGGCTGAAACATCCCCGCTTTACTCTTTCTTGCATAGCCAGGGATCTCCACTTATATTTTACACTTAGCATCGGTTGAAAAATCGCCATTTTATTTAAGTTTTGCATCGACTGAAATATCACCGTTTTATTTTAATCTTTACATCGGCTCAAATATTGCCACTTTATTTAAGTCTTGCATCGGCTGAAATATCGCCATTTTATTTAAATCTTAGCATCGGCTGAAATATCGCCATTTTTTATTTGAGTCTTGCATTGGCTGAAAGATCGCCAAACCCCGCATTTCATGGGCTGAAAGATCGCCAAAATTGTCCAAAGGCGTCATCGTTCAGAGGCACCATTTTCATAGCCCGGGAACATCATGCCATGGCCCGAGGACCCCACTTTTATCTCTGCATAGCATTATTCAAAGGCATCATGGTTCGGAGGCATCATTCTCATAGCCCGAGAGCATCATTTCATAGCCCGCAAATCTTTATTATACGCTTCATGGCCTAGGACATCATGGTCCGAGGACGTCATCCTAATCGTCCAAGGACAGTATTCATGGTCCAACGGGAACTTGCATCACGGTTAAATTTATGCACAAATATGTTCGCATTACTCATT